TTCTTCTCTGTAATAAATCAATAAAGTATATATTTAAAAACATGTATATATAACCTGGAAGTGTTGTCAATATTGGAATCATCTGCGGAGCTTTGAAAAGAAAAAGCAAAAACAATGCGTGGGCCCTGACTAATGGTCAAACCCAGATATTAACTGTGATGTGGTCAAACTAGAACCGAACTAAATGTGCATCAGTTAAAAAACAGGGGGGGCCATCAGGTAGGAAGAGGAATGCTTAAAGAATCTACAGTACAATAAATAAAACAAAACAAAAAAGAAAATAAAGAATCTACAGTACATTCATGATAAGAAACATTACACAGCGGTTAAAAAGAGCTTATAGCCCTAACCGGTTTGGCTCAGTGGATAGAGCATTGGCCTGCGGACTGAAGGGTCCCAGGTTCGATTCCGGTCAAGGGCATGTACCTTGGTTGCGGGCACATCCCCAGTAGGGGAAGTGGAGGAGGCAGCTGATCGATGCTTCTCTCTCATCGATGTTTCTAACTCTCTATCCCTCTCCCTTCCCGCTGTAAAAAAATCAATAAAATATATTTTTTTATAGAAAGAGAGATCTTATATATCTACATGGGAAGATCTCTAAACATATTGTTAGTAATATGGCAAATACCACTTAATTAAGAGAACAAATAAAACAAAGCTATACATTTCTTTATGTCTCTTTATGTGTTTGGAAAGATACTTCTCTGAAAGGAAGGAAAAAGACTTGAGTTGAAGATACTGGGACTGAGTAACAGCCATACCTCATTTTACTGAACTACACGAGTATTGTCTTTCTTTATAAACTGAAGACAAGACCCTCCACCAGCAAAAAGATTACATCTCGCTTTATTAACTATACTTGCTTTATTATGCTTGTCTGAGACCAAATCCACAATATCTCTGAGGTATGCTTGTGCCCTAAAGTAAAAGCAACTACCTTTCACCATTACCAGGAGGATGAGAAACACTGCATGTAAAATGTGTAGTACAGTCCCTCCCACAGAGGAAATAGTGTTACTTATCATCTTTATTGCTTTGAAAAGCTCCCATGGTTCTCCTCCTTTGAGGACCCAAATGAGAAGCAGGCTGTTTTGTAAACACATCCCAGGGAAAACCAGGTTTCAAACCTAAATGTCAGAATTATAGAATTTGTAAGGAAGATCTTTACAAATAAGTACCCACTGAGAAAAGAGGAAAATATACTGTACCTAGCAGAAAAGGAAGTGACAGAAACATCCGAAATTCCTTTCACTGTAGACATGACTTTGTCCAGGTCTTGGGTGTGATTAACATTAAATTCTACCCTGTGTGTTCCCTCTGTTGGGTAGTTGGGTGCTTTGGAAGGATGTATAGGCCTGGAGGTGCAAACGCCTTGAAAAAAATGGTAGGAAAATGGGAGTTTTTGTGTTTTGTTTTTAATTAAGAAGATAAACTATTATGCCCCAAACTTATAAGAAATGAGTATTTTTAAAATTCATTCTCAGATGCTTATATACCCTACACATACACATATCCTTTTCCGATACAACCAACATTACCCAACAATGGGGGATTTAATACAGACATACAAAATCAAATTTATTTTTTGAATTATTTTCCAGTATTCTTAAATACCACAAAAATTTGGACAAGAAAGACTGATGCAGTTTTAGATGATACGTGCAATTGTGCTGCTTATTACATTTACCCATGTACATGATTCAGTGTGTAAATCCTCACAGCTACTTGACCACATCAATCCAGCTTGTAGCCTCATAAAAGCTGCAGCCCAAAACAAGTAAACTATAAAAAGACTTACTAAAAGTAAAGCTAAAACACATGTGCTGAATTCCCTCATTAAAACTCTGCTCTATATGAGTGACATACTAAGTATGTACCACAGAGGCCCAAGCTTTCAGTTCAATTTAACAAGCATTTCTGGAGTGGCCGGGTGGCAGGTACAATGCCACCTGAGTGAGGAATCACAAAGCTCAGACTAGCATGAGGATTTCCCAGGCTCGCCTTGTTCATTAGTCATAAAAATACTATTTTTCAAATGTCATTTGGTTGCCAGATTTCAGCAACATTTTAAAATATATTTTGCATACACAATAACGATCTCACCCTAGAGCAGTGAAAACTCTACTGAAAAGACGTTCTAAAGTTTCAAAGCATTTATAGGGAGAATACGAAACATGAGAGAACAAGAGGCTTCTCACCGAGCCCTTTAGCCAGCCAGTTGTTGACCCCCTGGGGTGCGGCATCATAGGCCGTGTGCGGAGAGTAAATGGCGATTCTGTTCTCCAGAGCGCGGATCACCAGGCGCTCCTTCCAGGTTTTCCAGGTTATGCGCTTCATGGGCCGGAAAATGGGCGGATGGTAGGAGAGAATGAAATCAGCCTTCTTCTGCAGTGCCTCCTCCATCACTTCTTCGGTCAAATCATTGGTCAGGAACAGTGTGTTCACCGTGTGTGGTGGGCTTGGTTCCACCAGTAATCCAACATTGTCCCAGCTCTCAGCAAAGGAGAGGGATGCAAAGTCATTCAAGGAGGAAAGGAGAGCCTTCAGGTCCATGAAGGAAGAGGAAGGATTGCGGACCAGGGAACGAACAAGCTGGACTCTCGTGGGGACCAGGCGTAGGTGAGATGACAACATTCAGAAACCGGGAAAAACTGAAGATCTGAAGTCAAAACACAAAAAACGGTACACACGTACACTTTAGGCCTGTACCTTTGCAAAACAGGAGCAAAGGAGCTGCAGTCGTACATACCTGGGTGCAGGCACTGCCCCTGCCGCTTACCAGCATTTCTTAGGTAAGTTACGTAACCTGGCTGAGCTTGTTCCTCATCTACAAAACAGAAACACTACAACCCACCTCACAGGCCATCGAGAGGAGCAAGTGCATTCCTATGTGTGAGTCACCTGGCACAAGCCTGGTACCTACTACACAGATGCTCACCCCCTCCGCCCCAGAGTACCTCACCCTTGCTCTAGTTCCCCCCATCCCTGCTTCAGCCCCATTCCTGACTTCTCCATTTCTCTAAATATTACCCCTCTTTCCAAGTCTCCTTCAACTTCCTAAAATAAAGCCTTTTCTTGACAGATCTTCCTTTTCGGTGTCTCTCTCCTCCCTGCCCCATTTTGCCCAAGTATTCTCATAATATTAGATTCCTGTATGTTTGTCTCCCCAGTATGCTAATGCTACTGGGAAACAGGAACTACCTTTTACCTATCTCAGTATCACCAACACAGGCCAGCACTAAACGCTTCCTGCAGACCGACACGGTCCCCCACCCCATCTCAGCAGAGTTTGGAGTTAGGGTGGTATGTTAAAAACTAATTTGTTAAAAAAAATTACAAATATATATATATATATGTAATTTAAGTACTTTATAAGATGCACAGATGAGTCACTCCAAATGAACAGGGTCCAGACAGGAAAAGGCAGGGCTGCTGCCCCTGAGCCCACACCTGCTACAGGAAGGCTCAAGAGGTGGGAGAGTGCTCGGAGGCGGTAAGCCTAAGGGAGCAGCAATTTTCAAGCTGTTTCATCTCATGGCACTCATAAACTAATTACTAAAATTCTGCGGCACACCAAAAAATATATTTTTTGCCTATCTGACAAAAAACATAGGTACTGTATAATGTTGATTCATTCACCCCAACAGCTATTGCTGTGTTGGCTGTTGTTATTTTTATCTGACAATCTATGGGAAAAGAGGTCAATGCTCCTGACTAAATAGTCAGGTATTGCATGTTTTAAAAACTCTTGTGGCACCAATTGAAAATTGCTGTTCTAGACAGCTATATCCAATACAAAAAATGACACTGCCAACTCCATTCTTCAATTGTTGAAGCATTTCATAGTCTGCACAATAATTAACAAGAAAGCATAGCCAAGAGTAAATTTAAAGATTCACAACCCAATGATTTCAAAAGCAATTTTAAGACATTTCTACAGCAAAAATTTTTAATACTAGAGGCCCAGTGCACAAAATTCATGCACAGGTAGGGTCCCTAGCAGATGCTGGCTGGCAGCCGGGGCCTTCCTTGGTTCCATGCTACCCCCTGGTGGTCAGCGCATGTCACAGTGAGCAATCAACTACTAGGGGACACTTTGCATATTAGGCTTTTATATATATAGATGAGATGTATTTATTCAATATATGATTTGAAGTGCTGAGGAGCCTCTGTTAACCACTCCAGCCTACAGTCCTGGAATATCTTCTAATGTCCTTATACCTCTTCCACCCTCCAGAGTCCTCAGCCTGACAGCACTCCACTCTCCGGGCTCTTCTAAATCTGTCAAGTGGGGCAGTGAAGTTACATTTGAAATTGCCTTTGGAAATAACACCCCTCATCTCACAGATCAGGCGACAGCAAAGCTGCCTAGCTTGATGCCAGAATTCATGATGGGAGGCAGCATAGCATGCTGGACAAGAGCAAAGACTCTAACGCCATACTGACCCCTCCCCCTCCCCACCCCTAGAGTCACAGCTGCGTAGCCAGTTACTTAGTAGCCAGTTACTTAGCCGCTGCGATTTCCAACTCTGAAGAAGGAAGTGCCCAGCTCATAGTTGGTCGCAATACTGAAATGTAAAGCTGGTGACCATACCTGACCTCCAGTCAACACGGTGTTGTTATTAAGTAACATTAGTAGGTCTCACTTTACAGCCTGCAAAACTGCACCTTCTAGGTTACCTCATCTACATGCAGGCCACAGCCAGCATGATGAAGAGCCGGTGGCCAGCCCCAGGCTCTCCCGCGGCACCCCCGTGTCTGTCCCTCCCTCCTCCTCTGCCCCGTTTCGCAGCAGCCCTCGGAGAACGGTCGCAGTCCGCACAAACCCGAAGTCCGCAGCTTCATCCGCCGAGATTTAAATGGCCGGATGCTCACCCGTCCCGAGAACGCTCCTCGCGCGTCACTTCCGGCCCCGGTCGGGATCTCGCGGCGTGGGAACTGGCTGGGGCAGGCGCCGGGCGGAAGTGGTCCCTCTCATTCTACCGCTGAGTGCCAGGCACTGCCAGAAGCTGTCCAGAGTAGTTCCGCGTGGGATTCGTGCCCTAGTGTGAGAAGAGAGTTCCTTGCACTGTCGGCAGTGGTCCAGGTGGGCGTGCCTGACACCGGCTCCCTAGTGCTATCACGAAACGAATTTGGAATCTTCAGACCTGGGGCGGGGGTCACCTGCCATCGCATCTTTTCTGTCTTGGCCGCAGCTGTGCTCCCCGAAGTGGTAAGGTATGGGGTGGCGCGCTCATCTTTCGCTGGTTTATTCAGATACTTGCAGAGCGTGTGTTCTCGTTCTCGGGCTGCTTCGCGTGAGCGTTCCGGGTGGAGAGGCTGCTGCTGAAACAGCAGATCGAATAAAGTAAGAAAGCACATGGTGTAGCAGGACCAGTGCTGGGGAAAGGAAGCAGAGAAGGCACTGCGATTAGGGCGTTTTAAGCGGCGCCTTGGAGGGGAGGGCCACGCCCTGCAGG